CAGACTCTTAACGACTGAGCCACCCAGGTGCCTCAAGATTTTATTTATTTGAGAGAGAGAGCATGAGTGGTGGGGAGAGGCAGAGGGAGAAGCAGATTCCCCGCTGAGCAGGGAGCCTCATGTGGGGCTTGATCCCAGGACCCCGAGATCATGACCTGAGCTGAGGGCAGACGCTTAACCAACTGAGCCACCCAGGCACCCCTCTTCAGCTTTATTTTTCCACAACATATTATTAGTTGTGACAGTTATGAATTTTATGTAAATGGAATAATACTTTAATGATTTTTTTTTTATTCACAGTATGTTTTTGAGATTTATCTGTTTGGTGCATGTAGCTATAGTTGATTCATTTTCATTGTTATATAATATTTCAGGATGTGAATTACGTACTATATGCTGCTTTTGACAGACATACAGATTTTTGTCAAGTGTTTTGCATTATGAACAACTATTGTGAATATTTTTGTACATGTGCAGGAATTTCTTTAGCTCACTACTCTTCAAACTGCTGGGTGTGCTCCAAAACGGGTCATAAAATCAGATTAATAGGGAGCAACCAACATTAAAAAATGAAAGAGAACAGAAGAAAATTCACTGCATTTTCAGTATCCTATATATGTATACAGGTTTCACATATAAAACATATATATATACATATATTTTTTAAGATTTTATTTATTTATTTGACAGAGAGAGACACAGCGAGAGAGGGAACACAAGCAGGGAGGATGGGAGAGGGAGAAGCAGGCTTCCCGCGGAGCAGGGAGCTCGATGCAGGGCTCAATCCCAGGACCCTGGGATCATGATCTGAGCCGAAGGCAGTCGCTTAACCAACTGAGCCACCCAGGCGCCCACAGTATTGTTAATTATAGTCACCATGCTATATATTCCACTCCCAGAACTTACCGTATAACTGAAAGTTTTTACCTTTTGATCAACCACCACACACCTTTTCCCCACCCACCATCCACTGCCTTTGGCAACCGCCACTCAGTTTTCTGTTTCTATGAGACCGGTTCTTTTAGATTCCAAACATAAGTGAGGTCGTATAGTACAGATGGACCTCTGACTTAGGATTTTTTGACTTTACAGTGCTGTGAAAGCAGTATGTATTCAGAAGAAACCATATTGCAAATCTTATTTTTTGATCTTTTCCCAGACTAGTGATACACAGTATAATATGCTTGTGATGCTGGGCAGTGGCAGCTAGCCAGCGCTGCCAGTCAGCTGCCAACTCAATCAGGAGGGCAAACAACAGATAGCTTAGGACCATTCTCTACCCTTACAAGCACTCTGTTTTTCACTTCCAGTGCAGTCGTCAATAAATTACATAAGGTATTCAACACTTTATTATAAAATAGGATCTGTGTTAAGATGATTTTGCTCAGCTGTAAGCTAAGTGTTGTGAGCACATTTCACACTAGGCTAGGCTATGATATTTGGTAGGTTAGGTGTATTAAATACATTTTCAACTTACGATATTTTCAACTTACGGGTTTATTGGGACATAACTCCATTGTACGCTGAGGAAGATCTGTATTTGTCTAATTTGTTTCACTTAGCGTAATGCCTTCCATCTGTGTTGTTGCTAACAGCATGATTTTCTTCTTTTTTATGACCAAATAATATTCCTGTGTGTGTGTGTGTGTGTATTTGTGTGTATGTGTATCTCACGGTCTATGTTTTTATATTGCATGTGTGTATTTATAAATATCATTTAGTATTATAGGAATGGCATCATATTGTATATATGTTCTGCAACTTGTGATATAGCTGCATTAATACATACTGATTTAGTTCATTCTTTTTATCTGCTTTTTAGTGTTTTGTCACAATGTACCACAATTTAATTTCCTTTTTTAATTTTTGTTTTTAAATTTAATTTATTGATTGTCATTTAGGTTTCTGATTTTTCACAATCACAAATAGTGCTGCAGTGAACATAAACGTAGACATAATGAAGCTTGGTGTTTTTGTTTATTTTTTTTAAAGAGATAGTGGGGGGTGGGGCAGAAGGAGAGGGAGAGAGAAAGGATCTCAAACAGCTCCATGCCCAGTGCGGAGCCCCTTGGGCTCGATCTCACAGTAGTGAGATCATGAGCTGAGCTGAAATCA